GGATTTGATAAAGGGTGAGTAGCTAAACGAATAATATGCGAACAGAGCAACATCAAACAATACAAACAACAAAACAATTTAAAACAAAAACAGATACAAAGCTAAATACAAAACGAACAAGCCTAAATGAAAGAGTCAGTCGTAGAGTTACAATTCTATGCGTGTATTCTCAAGTCTTCATCAGTTTCAGCAAGCGTCTGATGTACAATCAATTTTGCACTTCTGTTAGGATGAGCTATTAAATTTGTGTATTTTATACCTTTCAGTCTAGAGAAAGGCGCGTTTCACGACATGTTTTGGCGAATCAAGAAAGCTTTACCAGGAAACATAGCAGTGTCATGTCCCGATATCATGTTCAACATACACACCAACCCCGTACCCGATAGTTACTATGTACAGCTAGCAAGCAAATGGGAAATAAAAAAATGGGTGGACGCAAGTGGGCAAGTACGATGGTACGGTTGTAGGCGTGGCTTTCAACATAATATCGGTACGCAGTCGTGTGCCATGTCTAAGGGCGTGGCCAACCCTCCATGTGATTTAGAAAACTTTGCCGATGCAATCAAGTTCCTGATGAAAGAGTGTGAAGACGCTGGACTTTTCTGTGAGTTACAGGAAGGGACATTACTCGGTAAGACTTTTGAATTTTAATTCTCTGGCATTAGTGCAATCTTTATCCGAAGCCTCACAATAAGCTAGAGTGATCGCACGTAATCCGTGCAACTGTACAAWCTAAATAGTTCTATTKAGTTGTATTTAGTAAATCGTGCATGCGAATTMAATTGAATTGATACAAATGAAGCATTCAATATACCRTATTGCTTCAGGTCCACTTTTAGTACAAATTAATACTACTTAGATTTTGTACAGTTGCACGCTTTAAGTGCGATCACTCTAGGTAGACAGCGCGTTCTAATACTCCAGTTTMSAGATCTTATTTGTGCAGCCTTAACCTCGAAAGCATGTAATATGTTCTTTTATTCAGAAGAGAATCTATTTTAATTCAAAAACTATGTGTACAAAGAAGACAATAAAAGTTTATGCTTGATTGAAGATAAGCTTGCACAAAAGAGAATTCGAAACTGGAGTATTGGGCGATGACCATGTTTAAAGCTCACAAGCGCGAGATCATTTCATTTTACTCTACATAATTACAATCATTTTATCGTATTCAGGTGCTGTTAAATTCAACAAGGTTTTACCGTGGGAGAGAGACGCAGATATCACATTTCTCACTGCAAACTACACTGCTTTGAAAAAATTAAGACCTAAGTTCGTAGAACAGGTATTTATAATATAATATAATATCTGTATGAATAAATCGCCAAAACTGCAGTGCATCGTTGTTRGCAGTGGCCGCAATGTATCTTGGTTGTCTGACCGTRGAGCATCATGGTTGTCTCAGTTYGCGGTGCATCATGGTCGRCAGTGACCGCGGTGCATCATGGTTGTCTGAGTCCGCGGTGCATCATGGTCGGATGTGCCTTTAAGAGGCAGCTATCTCCTGCTATCACGTCGCGATTCTTTTAATATCCAGAATATGACAATAACTAGAATATGACATTCTAATCCTTTAAAATTCTTTTATAGCACTTAAGATTTAGGCACCGTATATTACATTCAATCGGATTTTCTATGCCGACAGGGCTATACTTTATCTGATGATGACGATTCATTATGGTGTTGTGTCGATGGGAGGCAAGCAGGTGGCAAATTCACCGTCGGTACATCGCGATTTACAATAGAAATGTATGGACAACACATGATGGAGTCCGAACTGCTAGTGGCCAGCGGTCAGTCTCCAACAAAGGTCAGTATAACGTCGAGAGGCAATAATTTTTCCTTTTTTTTAATGTCAGCATTAAAATATCGCTTTTGTATCTACATTTTGGGCACAATAATTAAAGAAAGTAAGTTCAAGTTCATATTTGTTTGTACAACCTTTTCCAGGTTCAATTTGCTGGACAGTGGGTGAATGTGGTACGTAATCCTGGTTTRTACGCACGTAATCGATATGGTCCAAATCACTTCAGGCACGCCGAGCACTGGATGGATTTAGGACAGGGTACTGGTTGGGAATTTTATCACCCAGGGACGTTTTCTGCTTGCCCTTATCCTAACCACTCAGCTTGTTTAGATCAATATCCAGCAGATGGAAATATTCAATTTAGTGACTATACTTCAAAATAGTATGCATAGAAAATATTGAACGAATTATGTCAATGATCACCGATATGGAATCGATGGTTCTCCGATGATTCACTGAATGCTTACTGATCACTGGTGCTGAAAGGAAAATATCGAGCACTTATCGATTCGACACACCGATGGTTAAAGATTGACTTCACCGATTTGGAATCGATCGAAAAAGTTGCTTACGAAAATTTAACGAATGTTTACCGAGAATTTTGCGAGACCTCTTGATACAAACAAAAAATTATCGCTTATCGCAGACGTTAGCACAAAAAAATAATCGCGAATTAACGTATTTTTACACAATAAATAGGATGGTAAAATGAAAGTAATTTTGTAAAGAAAGATTTTTTTCTAATATAAACTTTATTCGCGTTCGTGTTGTTGTGAACAAAAATAGCCATGCTTATACAATGTTGCTAAATTAAAAATATTTTGGTTAAAAGGTGTGTCTGTCTACATTTGTATTTACTTTTAATAATAGATAATAATAATAGATTAATAATTAAATTTTGAATGGCGTATTAACCATGGAAGCCATTCGAGTGTTTGTTGTATAATTTAAACCCCTTAAATTAATAGCTCTGGGAAGCCAATATGCTGTCATATTTCATTCAGACAGTGCTCAGACATATTTGGAGACTATTCCATTTTCAAACTAATTATAAAAAGCTGGAATTCGTTTTTGGGTAATTAGAAAATTTATAGATATCATTTTATAGCATCAAATATAACTTGAGTTGTTGAACAACATCAAAACTTTCATACCAGCAAATGGAATGAGATTTTGAAACTAGTAGTAGGCCTCTGTCGGTCAGTGCTGACCATGGTGATGCATCCTAGTCCTGGTTGACTGCTCGACTGTAGCAGCATCTCATGTGGCTAAGAGACCAATGCGGGAGTGACAATCCTTGTTGCAATGGTCACATCTATAGGTGGAATCTGGTTGGCGTTGTTGCTCTTCTTCCTGCGGGCTCTCTTAACTGCCGCTTCATTACGCAGTATCGAAACTAGAGCATTCATATAATTATACAGCTTTTTCAAATGGTACGTTGAGTACTGAATAGTAATATAGTGTATTCCAGGACCGAAATGCATTGTTGGTATTCCGTGTAGAGCTGACTTGTTTTCCATCGGGGTACACATATCATAGGGGGCATAGTAATCAATTTGAAACATTGGAAAACCCCTAGACTTCCAACAAAGCATTTTCGTATTGGAATTCCCTGTCTCAACGTTTCATATAATAGCTGTTTAACCTAAAGAACATACATGCAACGATTAATTTATAATGATTATTATGATAACATAGAACGACGATATCATACATAATACATTATTTGCCTTTTAAAAAGTATCAGTTTTTTTTAACCTGGTGTTCAAACAACAATCTTCCCATGTACAAGAAACATTTTGCATGTTATTCTGAAGTCCGTAAGTCAGGGAAGACTACTATTTATTTTAATTTGACTACAAGCAAACATTCATTTGTCATATGCCAAGAAGAATACAAGAACGACCCGTCAAGAAAGACGTATTTGAGGGTACACATGATATAAAAGAAAAAAAGTAGTATTGATTTTAGTTTAAAGAACATTTATGTACCAAGTTTCAGTTGAGATTAAATTTTAAAGGCAGAAACAGGTGAAATACTAATTTTTCTCGATAAAAAGTGCTATTTTAGGCCAGTTCGTCTACAATGACTGTTGACACAAAGCCTATGTACCAGACATTGAGACATGATGTATGCTAGTAGTAAAAATACACCTATTCAAATACTGGAACTTTTTTCCTATTAAAAGCACCAATGCAAAGTGCTATATATTATTTATTATGACTGAGTAATTAAGGTGGAAATGTTCCAATAAAACTGAATCCGGAAGAAACTAATGCGATGCCTGAAGTACACTAACAAAGGTTCCATGCAATTTACTTTAATCACCAGTATTTATGTCAACATGCATTATGATACTTCATTTTGTGAAGCTGCTTTTCTAGATTAAGAAAAAACAGGGAAAAAAAAATAAAATTCTGAACAGAAATGGCTTCTATTTGGTGTTTTTCCATCTGCGCGCGGTCCAACTTTCGTTCCCTGGGGAACTCCATCGGTCAAAGCTCCAATTTCTGGAAACCCCAAAATTCAAGACCTTCATGATAATATTCATAGAATAAAAATAATTTGTAATAATGGGTACTATTAAACTCTTCGTGGGAGACAAGTCTCGATTGGTTTAATGATCAGCTCTTGACATTTGGCTGTGGGACAATCAAACGATAATAACAAACCGAGTACCAGCAAGACAAATTAATCCAGCAGCGACAACAAGTTCTTCCTTTGGCACCCTTAGATTGAATTCAGTTATATTATTAACGTCCTGATAATACCACCATGCAAGATTACTGTGAAAACAGACAGTACTCATCGATTATGGAAAATTAATTGTCAAAACAAATTTTTGTTTATTTACTTTAGAATTTTCGAGGCTTTTCGTGTTGCACTCACTACTGATTGACAACCTTTGAGATGAAAGTCGGCAGTGAATATACAAATGGATTTTGTTTTTCAAATGTGTTGTGCAACCGCGAGCACTTTTGCGCTTAAATGGAAGTTGGTTCCACATATACATCGACTCTGGGGAAAAAACAGCTCAGGAAAACTTAAAAATATGAGAAAAGAAGATAAAATAAAAGCCACAGACAGCAAACTTAGTGAACAGTCCAGAAGCAAAGAAGGAACTGAAAGCGAGGAGACGATGAGACAATAAAAAGGGAAAAAAAAATAAACGAGACATGAGAAACGAGATAAAATAAAAAAAATAAACAAACGAGAATAGAACGAAAGATATAATCAATTCGAAATGAAGTATTGAAAACCAAATTAATGAATAAAATATTCACAGGAAAGAAATTTAAAAGAAAAAATAATTGGAAATATGGTTACGGTTTCCCGTTGATTAATCGAAGCAAAGTATAATTAGACTATCGCTGGCACAAATTCTGTATAGTTAATAAATTATGAATAACTTTAATAGTAAAATTTATTCCAGTCTCCACAAAAAAGTAAGTTGAATTGACTATGTACAAGAAACAAGATAAAATCACAACAATTTCAGTAATCGAACTCTATAAAAGTCTTGATTCCTTCCGATGTTTGGAAAATACAAATCTTAAATATCGGAAGAAAAAAAACATTGTGTCATTGATATTCAAGACAATCTATGGTTTTCACGAGTGACTTTCCTAGAAACGTCCATTCATGTCCTCTCATTGAAGCGTGTAACATCAATTCTTAAGTGATATTTCCAAAATGATTTTTGAACAACAAACTATTTGCTTATCAATCAAGATTAATCGTTAAAGTAATCTATTCCCTGCATCGTTTCTCCTAACAACGAGCTCTTACTACAAAATATAATTTGAAATTTTCACGGGGAATTATCCAATGAATTTCTCTTCGTCATCGCTGTCATTACTGTACCAGTTTCGCTTTGAGATGATTGTCTTTTTGCGCGAACGCGAATGGGCACTCCGCAAGGATATGAATTGCGCGCTATCCGTGCACGCTGCGTCCCCAAGAAAAGCTCAAGCAAAGCTCTTCTAAATCGTCTTTGTAAAAGGCCATAAATGAATGGATCTATAGAGCTTTTTAAGAACGCTATCCATCGTAGCGATATCGTTACCCTATGTGGCAGGGGCTGCTCTCCATTAACGAGTTCCAGTAACCTAGCYGCTGTGTAAGGTGCCACACAACAGATAAACGCGCCTATTACAAACAGAATCTTTCTCGCGGCTTTGAATTCACGCTGTCTGCTAGATTCTGTTGACATTGTGCCACGWATTCCTGGCGCAAAATGCACCGCACTGACAACGGCGTGCCCAATTCTTCTCGAATGTAATCTCGCTACCCCAAAGATCTTGTAGTAAGCGCCTAGCATTATAACCAACGAGAGACCKACATTTGATGTATAAGTTGTTATAGTAAAGCCAATATAGCGAACGTCTTGAAGATCCGAAGGGAAAGTACAAACAAAGTACCTTGTATTAAAAGTATACCATCCCATACCAATAGGAGCAATAGCAAAAATAGTTGCCTGAACCCATACAAAACAGATCATTGCCAAAGCCCACTGTAGAGTCATCTTAGCTCTGTATTGTAAAGGTTTAATCACCGCAATATAACGATCGATAGATATTGTTGCAAGAGTCAAGATAGCGGCTATACTGAGTAACATGTTCCAAAACCCCGTTGACTGGCACCAGAAGTCTCCAAATGGCCAATGATTGAGAATCACCGATCCAAATGAATATGGCATTGCAAAAATAGCCATCATAAAGTCACAAATGGCCAAGTTAACGATAAATACGCTGGAGATGTGACGTCGCAGTTCTTTACTTCTATAAACGACTAAACATACGAGGAAATTCATTACAAATGCTGCAGCATTCATGAAGAATATCGTTAGCGARAAGGCGAACGTTTCTCCTTTGGAAAGATTGCCCATAGTTCYGTTAGTTTAGCGTTATGCCATCCAGAGTGTAGAAAACAAAATTCATCTGATAGTACGATAAGTACAAGACCTGACGCAATATAAACCTACAAAGTATAAACAGTATTATTATGGTATGGCTTACTGTCCAAATTAATACATCAAAGTAACGCAGATGTTCATGGAAACATGCATGCGCTACTAAGCTGAAGATTTTACAACGAAGAGCATATGGTGTGTTTAATTCAAATTTGAAGGACAAGCATACATTTTGTAACAATACTTAGTAAATTTACATAGTTATCGGCCAATTAGCATAGCTTGTTGCTTAAATATCATCATATTTGATGACAATTCCAAGTCTACATCTTTYTTGACATCTGCAGACAGCAAGCGAGGTCGGTTTTCCAAATGTGCAATAACTTAGTGTTCCCGTTTGAAAGGGAGATCGATTAGTCGTCAATCTCGTAAAGTGAAACTAGGAAGTAAGGGWATGAAGTCCCGACAATTCTCTTGATCACTTAACACCTTTAAGGAGAAGATGAAAYGATTTCAATAAAAACAAATGATCGAGTAACCAGCAACTCATACCTTTTCAGATCCTCTATTTGTTACACTATTTGATCCACAATTTCGTCAATAAAAACACAAGTGCTCTCGCGGAAAACACGTTTCTATACACTTTAACCTGACACAACAGCCAAAAACTATCGTAGATTTGTTTACGACCATAATAAAACTTTTGAACGCTCAAMGAGAAGGATTTGGAACGATCTTTTCGCGTCTGAATTATATTTTTTTTCTCAGGATGAAAACAGGTGTCGTCATTCTCATGCAAATTGGGTTAAAAGGGAATCTTTCTTGTACCGTATTTTTGCGKAGTGTTTACACAGCACCAATAATAACGCTGCGACCCAAAATTAGAATAATGAAGCGCATTTGTAGTTTCTCGGCAGAAAGCGGCCGCATCGGATTTGTTCACAAGATGATTGTCTTCTAAAAAAAAAACACAAGATTTTTCCAGCGAAGATTTCTTTTTAAGTGCGCAGTGGTCTTAAAGCAATCGGATCGTGTCTTATTGCGCGACTTGAATATTCAATACAAAATCTAGGAATTGATTTACATTTAAAGATCATCTTGTGTTTCAATTATTATTTTTTCTTGGATCTGTTATCTATGAGTGTTACGGGAGGTAGTCGAGGATCTCCCGAGGCGCTGGTATTGTGCGCTAGGTTTTATCTCGCTTAGCACATCTCACGGTACAAGAACATACATGCTATCAACTAATAAGAAATAACTCTATAAACGAAATTATAAACTCAATTCATTACATTTTGACGCTTTTTTTATTGCGATAGTTCTCGATGTCGTGAATAATTTCATTACATTATTTTGTTGATCAAAACAATACCATTTTAATCTTTATACTTTAAACTGTTTATTAAATATCAAATATATTTATCAAAAATAAAAAAGCCAAAAAATAAACTCTTGTCCAGCTTGGAAATTCTTTTTTGGACGTTATTTCGACGYGAGCGGTAATTTGAAGACAATTTATTGTTGTTGTTTAAACATTGTGTTTTAGTCAAATTGTTTAAAAATAAAACAACATTTTCTAAAATGGATAATAGGAAAAAAGAAAAAAAATACAAAATGGACTATACGAGAAGGGATTAATCAGAATTGATTGTTAGATATACGAAAGCAACAAGATTCAGTCTAAAATATGTAACGTATAATCCTTTCTCTATGTTGTGCAAACAACATGTTTCAGTTCTTTGATTGAAACTTTAACTTATACAAATATAAACCAAAATTAAAAAGAAATGGGATAGAATTTAACATAAACTAGAGCTCGCTAGACCTAAATTTTTATCTAAACAAGTAGGAGTAGTAGCCACCTACCTTGAAAGACAAAGACAAGCTCCAGTCTAGATGTTTCTCGAGCAATAATCTGATCTTCAGTGGGCACAGCAATTAATTGTGAGCAAGGCAATGTCAACTGCGAATGCCATGTAATTCAAGATTATTATATCCTCGGTTTAACTGAAAAAAAGTGCCAGAATATATAACCAGTATAACGTGATTTGAATTGATGCCTGAAAGATCTATAATATCGATATGAAAGGGACGGCCAAAAATTACAGCAACTTCCGCACACAAGGCAACAAATTTCATTTCCTAAGGACTAGAAAACGCTTAAATGCTAATTTAAAATAAAAATACGAGATAAAAATTTTAAGTTTTAAAATCGAGGGTTTAAACCCAAGCTCACCTTGGCTGCTTTGGTCTCTAGCCATCAAGATAGCTCATCTAGATTATGGTAAGGTTGTCCGATTAGACTGGATTTCCCTTTATTTTTCTTGAGATTATCATTAACACTACACCACGTATGCTTCAAAATGTATGTCTTTCGATTGATATCTTTTCGTCGATAACGCAACGAAAAACAGTTTCACATTTCTCAGGCTTCAAGGAAATCGGACGAAAATGAGAAGAWTTTTTTTTKGAATCCAACTGCGCATTAATACATCATATAGGTATTATGACGAGGTATAAAGCAAATATGACGACGATAAAGCAACAGAATGTTTTATGAATTGGCTGTTCAAGCGCGCTTAGGATTGGTGGAAACTCTGCACACCTTCGACTGAGCAAACAAGAATAGATTTATTTAACAATAAATAACGTCAAAAGGTCTTAAAATCCTGCACTTTGCTTTCTATAATCCGAGTTTTTTTTCTTATGTTAGAATCCCTTACGAAGTAATTTCGCGAAAAAAATAGGTAAGGACCTATTGCGTCAGTCGTTGAGTATTAATATTCCCCAATTATCCACCTCAAGTGAAGAGCTCTTGAAACACAATTCATTCTCAACGAATCTATTGTATAACTTCGACT